AATTTCGAAGGCGCAACAGGGAATAGTGATAGGGCTGCAGAAGGCTTGGCAGGATCGGCAAGGATCCCTTGTTCCCCGTGGAAAGGATTCCGATTGCATCAGCCGATTCTCCGCTTCCACCTGGTCCCTGCGCCAAGGCAACACCGTTGGACCGCGAATGCAGATCGTCCTTAGCACATCCGACCAGGCTTGTTGGCTACTGCACCCCCACCACCAATCCTGCCCACCACCTTTCTTGCGCCTCATCTCCTCGTCTTTTCCAAGTACAACGCCAACAGCCGACTTGCAGATGGCGCATGCGTACTGTTTACTGCATGGGGTCTAGGTGAGTTTAAGCACGTGTTTTCGCGTCTTTTTATCTAGTAGGTAATAGCGACGAGACTTTCATCTTGCGCAACATAATCTGATGGGAAATAAGCTGAACCACCTCCGTTGCCCTGTAGTGGATAAGTTTGGGTATCTATTCTAAGACGATTTGGAGCTCATCGCCAAGTAGAGTAAAGCAAGAATCAACACATTCATCAATCATTTGGGTCGACCAAGCGCATATTCCATCAATCTTATGGAACAGCCCCGGAGAGAATTCTTCGCAAAGTACGCTTGTATTGCCGAGCAAAACCTGACAGGATGGTGGCAACGTTCGCCTTGAACGTTGATAGTCGTAGGGTGCTTTCATACGTGCTCGCCTACTCGAAAGTACCAACAGACTACACGATCGGCTAGAGCTTCGTTGGAAATCCGTATTCGCCATTCGCACGGTCGAAGGCCTTGTTTTCTCAGTGAAACCGCCTCGGAGACATGTTGAAGCACTCGTCTCACGCTGCGTGAGAATGCAACGCGGTGGTCTGTCCAGTTTCATGACTCTGAGAAAGCGATGGAGTATTGTGTTTGGGAATCCTGGGTGAGAGCTTCGTGTTGTGAAGCATCATTAGGGGATGATTGATGTAGAAGCGGTTCTAACTGTTCCAGAAAGTCGGGGCTAGAAAAGTCGGGGTTCGCGATGATTTGCGACTGGTGTACGCTGAGAACCTTTGACGTCACGTAAATAAATATGACGGCCGCGAAAAACTTCGAATTTTTGCAAAGCGCTCTTTGGGTTGAGTGTGTAAACTTCGCATGCACAGAACTTAAATAAGGTGGTTCTACAGAAGAACGAGGATTTGCCTCACCCCATGGATGTTTTCTTGTCGCAATATGGCCTCTTGAAGCAGTTACGAAGCTTGCTGGAACCGCAGGACTACATTAATCTCCTACGTTCTCAAGACAAAGATGGCAGACACAAAGCTGACCTTACTGACATCAAGCAATGCTTGAACCCGGTAAATTATCTATTTAGAAGTCTGGAACCGATAGTTAGATGGAGAAGAGTGTACGGTTGCAGCTTCATCCTTTGCGGAAGTGACGTGGCGAGGCTTCACGAGTACTTGATTGGAGGACTCCAGAACGACGACAAGGTTTACGATATAGCTTTAGTGATCGCTTTCGAAGACTCACAGTCATACACGCGAGCTTTGACGGACACTTTGAATGGAGCTGTCGAAGATGTCTACAACGAAGTTGAACGAGCTGTCAGACAAAAAATCGGCTCGCTCTCCCCAGACACGCAGAGTCTTCACGCAACCGTCGTGCGGCTTCACCTGAGCCTTCAGCTCTTCAACCTTGAAGGTGTGAGCTTTTTCGCAGAAGACTTTACTGGAAGTGCATGGATTGAGTGCGATCCAGTTCCTGCAATCTTCGTTTGCAGTCATGCAACAGAGCCATCCATTTGCCTGCGACAGTCGCTTACGTTTCCTTCGCCTACTACGTCGGTTGTGTTTTTGGGAACTTTGGGCAGTCCTAGCTTTATCGTGGTGAGGAAGTGCCAAGCATGTTCTCACTAGCAATGAAGGGTTGAAAAGACATAGTGAGCAGAATAGAATAGTGTCGGTGACGATTGCGTTGGCTCAGGGAATGTGAAGTTGAGCAGATGCAAGCAAAATAGGGCGACTTCGACTGGGAGCATGAGAATGGAATAGCACCGCTTGATCCCACTAAGCGGTTGAGTTCGAGAGGCGATACAAAGCCCCGACTATGTATTCGAAAATGCGGAGAGACATATATTTTGGCATACAAACTCTCGCTGAACACATCGGTGAAGATAATATTCTGGGTGGCTGACTACCTTTCTATTATGCAACCTATTTTCCTCCTTGTTGTAAGCTGGTGTGTGTTACTGTTGCATGCTGTGTGCTTTATAACCGTTGAGCCCATCCATCAGGTCTTCTGTCCTTGTGCTGGAACTGCTTGGTAGGAGACTTTAAGCTCGGCCCAATGTATGCTCTAAATAGTATGGAAGGCTAGTAATCGCCTTTTGAGACTGAAAATTTGCCAGTCGACTATTCGATGAACAAATATGTTGACTCGTATCTTTTCGAGGTGTTTGTGGTGTTGTGCCCAAGATGTCTCAGAACGAAGGCTGATTTAGTGTACTGCCTAGTAACAGATGATGGAGGAACCGGGTTCATTTTCTATCGGTCTCTATGAGCGTACTAAATTAGTCTTCTCAGAAAAGCCTTGAGTTGTCGGATTTAGCCCTCGACAAGGTCTTAGAAAGTTGAGGCGCTTGGGTCTTGACAGATCTCATACTGAAGGCCTACAGCACATCAGCCCTGAACTTTAGGAAAACGCTTGCTCCGCTCTCGTCGCAGTCTCAGCAGTATCAGGCCTGCGCAGGGCCGAAGCTGTCATATCGCATGTTAGGTGTGCGTTCACACGGGCTAACTGATAAGGCTGGAGGTTAGGTCTGGCCATGAATCAGAAGGGTTGAGTTTCCCTCTATGGACCTTCTTTGATAGGTTGTGCTGCGCCTCTCCTTGGTAAATTTAAATGGCGCTGGAGACTGTCAAACATCGTTGTGCTCAGCTAACCAAAATAGACAGTCCCTTGATGTCAAATACCAGCCTTGGCGATATAGACGCAAACAGCATTCTGCAACTAGATTTGAATATACTGTTGCTGTTCTATGGAGATAGTGAGGGGGAATGATGAACGGGGACAATGTGAGCGGGGGATCCCCGAGACCCTGAAAACTCCTACACTTGCAATGGGGAACAGGAGCGACAATTCGGGAGCAGGGAAACGATAGTGGGCAATAATGGAGGCAATTGGGAAATGAGTTGAGTTAGGATAATGCAGATGATGCTGGAGACACAGGCGGGAAAAAGTAAGTCTGGCGTAGAAGATGAGGGCGGCGTAGAAAACGGAGGCTCTCTTGGCATTTTCCGGGGGTTCTCGATACCCCGGGGTGTCTGCACCGCTCGTCATCCCATCCCTCACGCTGTGTCCCAGCGGCCTTGGTACCTGTGTCGTTGTTTGCGTCTGCGCAACAACACAGTAACTACCGTATGTCATTTCATCATAGCCCGATAGTTAGCGACGTAGTAGCTCACAAGAACACCAGTAGGATGGCTGTATCAAGCATTTTAATGCTCACTCGGCAACAGTTGGAGCACGGCTTCGGCGCCCTCTAGCCACCTTTCTGTCGCCCATGGGATATCTAGCAGGCGGGTCCTCACCATTGATAAAGACGAGGCTAAGAAGGAGGCACACGACGCTTAGGAAGATGTGAAAAAGACGTGAAAGCCGGCTCTTCCCTTCGTTTCCTCAATCTAAACTTGAAGCGCGTGTTTACTTCTGCTTGAGTTCTTGTTCAATTTTACCTCTTTCTAATTGCCCGGTTTTCCCTCCTCAAACTCGTGGCGCGCAATGCATGGAGAGAAACAGACTCCCCCAAACTAGAAGGCACCGCCGCCGCCGCCGGCGCCACCGATACCACCACCATCTCTCCCCGCGCCAGCGCCCGTTTTGTATCGAGTTGGTTGGTGTTGAACACGGCCTAGACATCATCATCCTGACCGGTGTGTAGGAGCTGGACTACCCGAGCTCTGGCAGGTAGAGTTTCGCGAGCTCGCCGGTGTGGATGGGCTTGGGCCGGTAGTCGTAAGAGGGTGCGCTGGGACCCAGAAAGAGCACAGACCAGCACTCGCATGCCAGGTGCACGTTACATAGACTATTTTGGTATTGCCGTCTCGACAGCCGTTTGGTGGCCGTTATACTTGGTCCGTTCTTCTTGGCAACAGACCGTGCCACGCTTTCTCGGCAGCAGGCAAGGAACAATTGATCCACTCTTCTATCGGCCGCTGTAATCTAGTTGCCAGCTAGTCGGCTTGTTTCCGAAGCTTTGTCATTGGCGCTCTAGAGTGCCGCTGCATTGTTGGCAGCGTCTGTACGTTGACTCGAATCGCGTCAGAGATGTTCTAGCTTCTGCACCCTGCTTTCGGTCCCTTCAACGAGCGGCTGCTTCTGGTGGGGCCGCGACACGGTCCCTTTCAACCCTTTGATGTGCTAGGGGCAATCTTGAGCGACATCGCGTCTGTGCGGCGCCGAGGCTACACCGCGGGTTGTGCCAACGCTTGGGCCATGCATACGCGTGCGGCACAGTGCAGGAACCGCTTTCCCGGGTCGCACGGCCGTTGTGGGCCGTCTACTAGTGTCGGAGATCTATTTTGCTTCGTGCCCTCTGGTGATTATTGGCTCGGCCTAATGGGTCTTTGGCAGCTCAGGATTCTTGGTTTTGAGGCTCTGTTTAGGATGACTGCCGGAGATGCAGCTCCTAAGGATGGGCGGTCGCCTGCGGGGTTGTTTACGTAGTCGTCTCGCTTATTCGTCCATCATGGTCACTCAGGACAGCGCACGTGATAAGAAATTAGGAGCTGGGATGATCGAAGAAAGGGTGATGGCTGTGGTAGTTGTGGTGGTGATGGTTGTGATGGTGGAATCATGGCTACAAGAGACTAATTGCGAGAGGTTACTTGTGATATAGAGGCATGAAGGGCCCGTATATAGTTGCGAATGATATAAGTCGCCATAGCAAATAGAATCTTAGTAAATTCACATTGTACACATCCCTTGGGTGAAATTATTGAATACAGAATTGAAGATTGCTGTAGTAGAGGGCCATCTCACAGCTTAGCTGGAGATTCCACCCCAACTTCCGGGTTTGGGAGATAGTTGAGGTACGGCGCATTTGCAAAGGATGAAACATAGGCATCGGCCTTGCACACGTCACTCACGCAAGGAATCAACCAGCGAGATGCCGCTTTCAAGTACCGTGTGTCCTGAGCTTCGTACCGCGTGATAATACCCGGAATATTGACGATGGATTCGGCTCTGGGGCGATGCACCTCTTCGAACTTCTGAAAACAAGCTGTAAGCTCCTCCAGCGACGGAACCGGTGAACATGTGAGGAGCTGGACAAGACCATTGGTAAAGCACGCAATACCTTCATACGCGGTATTCCCGCCAAGTCCAGGGTTGGCCGTGGCCTGCTGCCGGCGACTTAGCACAAGCCTGCCGTAAAGTAGCGATCATGGGACCTACTTTGTGGATGCAATCCCCAACGAGAACGACATGACCGTGGCTCCACTTCGTCAGAACTCCCTCCTCCAATGGAACCATCGTCGCCTTGACCCGCGCGTCCCACAGATCTCTGATCGTGTACGTTGGCCCCGGGTTTCTGCTACCATACTGTTCAATGGTCTTTTCCGTGTCTTCTTGTCCAAAGCGCGGGCAAGTCGGCGTTCGGATTGCCTCTGGTAGCTTGACGAAGAGGAACCAGAAGACTCGGCCTGGAACGCCAGTGGTGGAGATGGCCGAGCAGTAGTCGTAGTAGACGTTGTGCACCGTAGCATCAGGCATGGAGGGAGCATCGGGGGTGTTGTGGGAGATGGCGAAGATGCACTTGTACTCGGCAACAAATCCTAGACCTTCTGTTCAGTAGCGCACAGCAGCGCCTCTATGAGGGGATATACCCTCATTGAGCTCTTTCGCAAGTTCCGGCCGGGCCTTAGCAATCTCATCTGCCATGAGCGTTCTCACACGGCTGTGGATGCCGTCTGCGCCAACGAGAATGCTTCCATGGACGACATTCCCGTCGCTCGTCGTCACCGAGACCCCGCCAT